TTTGAAAACTGCGCTATGCAAAGGAGTTGACTTACTGCATTGCTCTGATTGGTTGTAGGTCTACCGACTATCCAATTGAGTGCAGAGGGTTTTTTTTTCCTGGTTCGGTTAAGAAACGCCTCATAATCAAAGCCCAACGGAGCGGTATCAGACTCATTTTCTTATTAGAAAATGAGTATGACGAAGTCAGGCTATGACGGGGTAGGTTTAGGGGTAGGTTTAGGTCTGGGGTGGGGTTAGGATCTGATAACGTCATCTAACCAACGTTTAAGGGTACCCTAAAAAGGCGGATGTTGACGTATGGTCAAAAGACGTCCCAAGACGTCAGTTTTATGACGTCTTGGGATGAGACTGCGCTGTTCATCACAGCTGGTTTCAGGTACTGAGCCTAAAATCATGTTTTTGTTGTCCATTTTAAATGGGAAGAAAGTCATGTTGGCTTTCATTACAATAACAGTAACTCACATACAATTTCTGCACCAGTCTATAAACATGTTGACAAATTCTGGGGTCAGACTACATCTGTAATGCAGACTACACCTGCAATTGTGGAATACACCGCAACCTGGTGGCCGTCAGTCCAGCTGCCAAAAACGCCCACTCTCTTCACGATTCTTCTTTTGAAATCAAAACGGAAACTCGCAGGTAACTGAGTCTGGCGTCAAATTTCCCCCCCGGGTGGTAAAATGTTTAATTGCTGCCACTCAGTGAAATTCATTTAATTGCTTCAAGACTCACACTAAGCAACACACCTGCATTAGTTTGATCGTGATCAACGAAATTCTTAATTATCGATCGTTGATTTATTATGCCCATCCCTACTTCGGTCCACAAGGTCCCTGTCTCGTCTGCACTGTTCACCAGAGGTTCCTGCCATGGCCTGCCCAAAAAACCTGTAATGGCCATCGACATCTCAGAGCTCTCTGTCATGTCCGACCAGTTCCAGATGCCCCAGAAATTCTTGTTAATGACATTCTGCAGGTTTCTGTCTTAAATTGCCATGGTACCAGTGCTTCCAGTTTTATCTGCCTTTGTACCAGAGCTTAACAATGGTTTGTGTAGTGGCTACCTGGCCTTCATGACACGGACATAATGTCTGCTCAGTCTAAGGACCCCTTTACACAGGGCTTGTTCAGTCCGACCCCCGCAGCCTTGGTCTGGTTTCACAACTTGATTTTATCGAACCCTGGTGCGTTTGCGTGCATATTATGTCATCGAAAACATGCACGGTGCATGATAGAAAACAGAACGTAGGTTAATATTGTGATTTTTATTAATTCGTTACTGGTTTACTGTGCATGTGTCACATGAGGTGGTCTTCTGCTGCTTGCAAACGGACTCTTTTGAGGATACAGTGGATTTCCAAATTTGGTGCCCTAGATTTCAAGCACAATGCACGAATATACTGCAGGCTCACTCTTGGTCGTACCCAAGGTAAATCGTCAACACTATCATCCCTTAAAGTGTTTTATTTAACTGAATACATCACAATAAGCTAAAACGCATGCACAGGTCACTTTACTTCCTGAACAAGTGTGCACCCGTGTCCGTGCTGCTTTCACATTTAGTCGGGAGCAACCGAACTCAGACCACCTCCTCCAGGTACGTACAGCGGCATATCAGACGCAGAAGTATACATCAGCCTTAAGATGTTCTTCTCAAAGATGTCGTAGACCTAGATGATATGCTCAATATGATTCAAGCCATGGATCCTGGAGGTTTCTATAATGAGGCATCTCAGACATTTTGCTCTATGTAATGTTTTCTGGGGGCCAGAGGTTCTGGCTCCAGTGCTCTTTAACCTGACTGCCTAGAGACAAGAGCTTAAAAAGTTCCTGACATGGACATCCCAAATGTTCCTCTATGGTTACCCCAGAGTTTGAGCTCCAAAATATATGTGCTTGGACCTAAAGTTTCCTGCCATATCTGTATCAGTGCTCTTTTTTCTTCAAGAGGTTGCTTCAGTTTGACACTATCTCTGGGACCTTTTTCTTTTCCAGAGATAGTGCCATGGCATGGACCTGCCAAGTGTTCCTGTTATGGGTGGCCCATAGTTTGAGCTTCCAGCTATATTTGCTTGGACCTAAAGTCTCCAGTCATGCCTGTCCCGGTGCTCTTTGTCTTGGTTGCTTCAGTTTGGCACTATCTCTGGGACCTTTCTCTCCCACTAGCAGATGGACCACAATCCTCTCACAGATGGGCGCAAAAGCATTTGCCATTTAATCAATTTGCCGCTGGAAGTGAAAATGAAAACTGCGTTGTGCTGAACCTATAGCAAAAAACACTTGCTATGCCTGGTGCTGCATTGCGGAGGTTTATGACAGGGCCCAAAGAGTCTTGGACAGTTCTGGATGTTTAGATGCCAAGGAATACCCAACCTTAGGAGCAGCTGCACTCAAAACTTTAGTCCCTTTTTCTACCACTTTCCTATGTGAGGGCGGATTTTCTGCTCTGACTGTACTGAAAACAAAATATAGATATCGCCAACAGCCATCACAAGACATGCGTGTTTGTCTGCCAAAAATAATTCCTAGATTTAAATGTGTTGTGTTCAAAGGAGCAGGCACACCCTTTTCACTAATACATTTACCTTGCTAGCCCTTAAGCTAGAAGCAGATTTTGAAAAAAAAAAAAAACGTTCTTGAAATTTGTATTGCATGTCTTTGTAAACCAGTAGTACTCGGTTCACAGCTATTCCTCTCATTGCCGTGGCTTAACAGAACCTTTAGACTGCTGTTTTGACATATCAAAGACTTTCTATATTTCCTACACTATCTCACGACCAATTTGTACGAATTCGACGCATGATTAAAAAGTGTCTAATTCGTACGACCTCACTCGTACGAATTTGTACGATTTGTATAAACCCACGTGATGGTTAGGTTTAGGGGCGGGGTAAGGGGTAGGTCATTCGTACGAATTGGCGAATTCGTAAAATATGTACGATTTAGCAAAATCGTAGTAATTCGTACGAGTGAGGTCGTACGAATTAGTACGAATTAGACACTTTTTAATCATGCGGCGATTTCGTACGATTTGGTCGTGAGATCGGGTTGATATTTCTGATTTCTTAAAGGGACACTTCACCCATTTGCATTAAGCTTTGTGTCTTTAGAAACCCAGTCATATTTCTGGATGGTCATGGTTTATTCCCTTACTTTCCCCTGAGATGGGAGAAATGTTTTACTTCCTGCTTATTATGACATAAAAATCATCATTTTGCAGCATAATAAGCAGGAAGTCACATTTCATTGAAAATTTAGAGACTACAACCACCCGAACCCTCCCCTGCCTACGGGCTTGTGATGCTATAATTGCACATCAACCTCAGTGGACCCTGGTTTTGTTGTTTTCCCCCTCCAAACCAAGATGGCCAAGGGTCAGTCAGAAATTCCAACTTGCTCCGAAATATCCACCCATTCCTTCTATCATAGGAGACTGAATGTATCGTCAAACAATATCTAATGAGTCATCACAGTCAAATTTTCCAAGTTTTGATTTTAGATTGAGAGAAAATTCAGATTAATCATCTGTCAATATTGGACCTCATGCATCAATGGTTATATTAGCTACAATTCATACTTATACTGTGAATGTTGTTTTTAAAAATACTTAATCTGCAGCAACCTTTTTTACTGTAAATAAATGTATTTGTATTATTAGAATGTAATTTATTAATGTAATGCGTTTCCCACAACACTGCCCATTTCAGATGAGATGGAAAACACCTGATCGCTGGGTTTCCTCAGAGGATTGGGCTAAATTGGGGTAAATTGACATACACTAGCATCTGGTTTCCACAGTTGTACCATGACAGGCTGTATAGAGATTTCTGATGGAAGCACATCCTCATGTTCTGATATCGAAGATAAGCAGAGTTCAATTTGTATGAAGTTCAATTGCCTTTGCAATTTCGCATTTATATTTTTTTGTTTATATTTTATAGTTTTCACATGATTTTATATAATTGTATTGATTGGTTTGTACACACATTACTGTTATTATTGTGTTATGTTTAATACAGTATCTCTTCAGTTTAAATAAACACAATGCTGTCCTCTCAAGTGGACATTTAAGATTATCATATTCATGCATAAAAGGGTTAATAACATCTCATAATTTCTCTAATATTTTGATAGAAATTTAAAATAATTGGTTAGTCAAATACTAGATTTTTTAAGTGGAAATATATATATATATATATATATAACTGTATATTTTAGGCAAAACTAACTTTTGGATTTTTAGTCAATTATTTTTGTATGTTTAACTCAAACAATCAAGTAAATGATATTCAGAGATTTTACTAAGTTAATAATGTTAATTATTACTGTGATATTTACAAAGCCACTGAATTATTTTTTAGAGTGTATAGGCTATTATATAGTGTTTGGTTATTTTATGAAGTTGTCTGAAAACGTTTTGTGTTACTTAATTTAAAAATAAAAATCTGTTTTACTATGTTAATGGCCAGTTTTAAACTATTGAATAAGAATATCCTAAGAATTTGAGAAAAACGTATCCCACATATAGCGAAAACCTTTAAAATGTACAATTCGGTGGTGCAGTTTAACTGCTCCTTTTTGTTGATTACAGTCCTGATAGTATTTGGGCCTGAGGTTGGACAGTAAAACCTCAACAGTAACCTTTCAAAGTAAAACAACCAAAAAAATGGACATAAATAAATCAATCAGTCAGAAATGGCACAGTTTTCTGAGAATGAATGTTACATTACAATGAGGGCAGAGCCATAGATGAGCTGCCCTAGTCTGGGACTGGAAACATGTTGAACATGAACAATGGCGAGGAGGTCCATATATTACGTAACTAATGGTGTCCACAAAAGCAGCTGACGTACCGCTTGTGTTCATCATTCATCATCCATCATTCCCACTGAAAGAAGGGTCTGTGGTCTCGTGCAGGTTCCTCTGAGGGCGGGGCTTCTGAGATGGGGCGGGGCTCTGCAGAGAGGGCGTGTCACAACATCCGGGCTCTTGTGACGCGCATGACAGCCGTTGTAAAAAAAACTCAAGACGACAGTAAATAATACCAAAGAGAAGAAGCAGACACTCCGTCAACAAATACATGTACCTGTCAGACACCGCAGAACGGGGACTCATGATGATTCAACAGTGCGCAGAGCTCGATATATGTACAAGCATGCTGTTGCCCCCTCAGTAAGCGGTAAGTGAATGTAATTCGCTCTTATTCGGTGTATGATAGCACTATGCTATCGCCTCAGCTTTAACGTTAGGCCTCAGGTACCTGTTGTGCCGATTCATTAATGATTTACCGGCATTAACATGCGCATTATACGGTAAAAATAACGTTTAAAGTTTTTGAAGGGCATTATGTGGCAATACGTCTACACTCTTGTGAACGCGTGACAGACTGTGAGTGGCTAACTGGGTTAGCAGTGTGTGAAGCTGATGGACACCACGACTGTGTTTCAAAACCTGTGGTGAAGCCTACCTAGACAGCTTCTGGACACTGATGCTGTCTAGGCTGCATTTCAGACGCATACTTTGTTCAACCTGTGTGATCATCATAATCACTTGGTTTCTATTGGCCTTTTTGTTTATAGTCTTAAATATTTGTGGTCTAGTGAGCTTAGACATGTAACGTTACCACGAAAGTAATGCTGTCATATGATACTGAACTACCATTATCACCGAAAACTTATTGTAAAATTTAAAGAAAGAAAGAAACGCATGATGATATTTAGCATTATAATAAAAACATATTTCTAAATTAGACTTCATTCTTTTGTTTTACTTTTATGAGGATCACCATGTAGCTGCTACTACGAGCATAGTTAGTTCGCCCAAAAATGAAAATGATCTCATGATTTATTATGATTTATTATTCACCCTCAAGCCATCCTAGATGTTTCTGACATTCTTTCAGCCAAAAACAATTGGAAACATATAAACATATATATATATATTATAAGCGAATAATGGGAGTGAATGGTGCCTTAGATTTTGAAGCCCAAAAAAGCACATCCATCCATCATAAAATTGCTCCATACGGCTTTGATGGGTTAATAAAGGCCATCTGAAGCAAAAAAAAAAAAGTTTTTGTGAGAAAAATATCCATATTAATAACTTTAAGAACTAAATCATTGGCTTACGGTAATGGCCTTACGTAGTACCAGTGGAGGAGTGTGCTCTGACCAGATGTGTGATGTATTGATGAACATGGAAGTGGAGGAAATGCAGCAAAACAAAACACCAGTCATCAATTAGAAGTCTAAAATGACAATTTTTAAAGAGTATTGTCAGAGGACCTTGAGTTTGTTACCCAGTCCTGTTTGTTTGAACCACAAGAGGCTGAGCTACTCAGAGGTCACTCTTGCGCCAAAACTAGACTCTCTCGTGAACACGTGGACCGTTTTATACCGGAAGCTAGTGATTACAGTTTATAAAGTTGCTTATGAATATGGATATGATATTTTGTATATAACTCGGAATGTGTTTGGCTGAAAGAAGAAAGTCACATACACACCTTGGATGTCTTGAGGGGGAGTACATTTTTAGGTGAACCAACCCTTTAGTTATGCAATTGAAATGACATTGATGTTTTTAATGCGTGCTTACTGATCCGCCGACATCTTTCTAGTGTGCAGGTGAAACAAACACTGAAATCTGGACCGTTCCACTCTTCCACCTGGAAGCCTCTTCACCGCCTCGGCTCTTAACGTATGCGATTACATGAAGAGGGGCGAGAAACCCGAGGGATACAGACAGATGCGACCCAAGACGTTCCCTGCGAGCAACTACAGTGGCAACAGTCAACAGATGCTGCAGGAGATCCGAGAGAGCCTGAGGAACCTCTCCCGGCCCTCGGATGCTGCCAAGGCCGACGGGAGCGCCGGGAAGGGGCCGCCGGACGACCCCAGGCAACAGGGGCGCAGCACCAACCCCAGGAACCCGCACCACTACCGAGCCCTGCAGGAGATCCGCAGATCACTCATGCCCTTCGCTTTCAATGAGACTAGCTCCAGTGGACACAGCGCAGACATCAACAAGCACATGTTGCAGGTGCTGCAGGACGCCGGCTTTGATGAGGTACAGCTCAACGTACTCCTGACATGAGAAGTTCGACTCTTCTTCCCCTCATATACGTCATATCAATCATTTGTGCCAGGAATTTGAATGTTCGCTCCTGTCACTTCATAATTTCACTTATTTGAGGAATGAATGTCACGGTATGTTGCCAGACCAGCTCTGGTTGAAGAAGAGAGCTCAACATGTCATACTCATGCTCACTAACAACAATGTGGGTGTGTGATGTACATATTTGAGCTTTCTCCAATAAGATGAATTGCTCTGCATTCCTCGTGAAATAGATAGATAAATGGATTTGCATACAGACAGAAAATGCTTCAGTATACTTTAATAACGATAATATACAGTCATGAAGTTTTATTTATGTAGTGCTTTTTACAGTACAGATTGTTTCAAAGCAGCTTTACAGAGATAACAGGAAAATAATGCAACAAAGTTTGTTTCTAGAAGAAAATAGCATCACAGTCCCGCTTTAGTAAGTTCAGTGATGGTTCATTTCTGATCAGTTCTCATATAATGGTGTAAATGCAGGCAGATCAATGAAATTGTTGAATATTAAATGTCCCCAACGAAGCAAGTCAAAAAGCCAAAGGTGACAGGGTGAGGATCAGGACTCAATGGGATAACGTAGTCTGCCGCTTCACAATTATTACATGGTTGTGTTTGCCAAATAACTAAAAATATACGGTCATGAAAGTGATTAGAGCACAGAATGAGTTTATTATGTGACTAGAATGTGTGCGGTGACGTGAAACTGCTTGGGACAGCTTTATATGCACAAATATCTGACCGCAGATGCCATGGCCAATCACAATTAAGAGCTTTAGACAGCCATGGAATAATAAAACAATATAACACAAATGCAAATCTGTGTTCGTAGCTCTGAACTGTGAGCTCGGAGATACCAGTGCAACTTGTTTGTTTCCCCTTGAGTGTCAATGTTACTCTGACTCTCATTGGTAGTAGTCAAACTATGTTTAATTTGAATACCTCATTTCCTTCGATAAAAGTCAGCTCAAAGTGTTTATGTATGGACAACAAATCATGTCTTCAGATGCATTGTGATTGCCCGTTCTTTATAAATGTGTCTGGTAAGTGTGGATGTCACTCAATGGTCGTCCTCCTCTGTGTTCAGGAGATGGTGGTCCGTGCGCTAAAGCAGACGAACAGCCGGAGCGTGGAGGCAGCCATCGAGTACATCAGTCGGATGAACTTCCAGGAGCCTGCGAGGGAGCAGATCACAGCCGCCGCCGCGCGTCCTGGGAACGCGGGGATAAAGCAAACGGGTACGCAACACCACTGAGAGACACTTCAGTTTGAGATCAGTCAAAGTCTGCTTAGGGGTTAGAATGAAACAACAGCTTTAAAAGTGATTTTTTAACAGGATCTGCATTTTCATGGCTTTAAAGAAAAAAAGATTAGTCAATATCATTCAACATATTGTACATTATATTTTGACGGACATCTTTATGTAAAAAAAAAAAGTCACATTCTGACTCTGACAATCCTTTTTAATAGTTTTTAATATTTTCAGTAATTTTCTATTTTTGACTGATCTTTCCCTCCCCCATAATTTTGGCAGTAGATGAACTGTTAAATGAGTGATCTTGAGATATGAGTCCCTGTAGTCGTGCAATTTGACTCGTATGCTAATGTAAGATTCAGAAACTTAGAAAAGATCAAACTATAATAGTTTTTTTTAGCCTGGTTGTTGTCTGGTGCACCTGACCTTAGAGGACAACTGCGGCGCAAAATGAATATTTGGTCTAATACACATTGGTACCGAGTCAACCGTTCTCTGAGATTTGTTTTCATGATAATCGAATGTAAAGAATCTCTAAAAACTGTTTAGCTTATAATGCTAGTGTATAGGGCATAGAGTAATGAAAAATAAAACTCGCTTGTTAACACCACTAACAAGGCTCAAAATAGCCCCACACTAAAGGCCTCATTTGCTTCTGCGTCAACTCCACGGCGTAACTACGCCGTCACTCCTATGGCGTTTGGCCGTTTTATGCTTCTGCATCAGGTTGCGTTGCATCGCAGGGCATTTAACCACCAGAACGCTAGGGGTGTGTGTGGTTCGCGAATCTCTTCCGCGAGCGAAAGAGAGAGAATGTTGTTGCAGCTGGAGCTAATTGACGTTGAACAACAAGACGACACAAACTTTGTCCCCATAAAACCAACACGGATGTCCAGGGCCCGTTCCACCCGAGCTGCCATAGCTGTTCGGAATGACTTGAAGGATTTTTTCAGTCTCCACATGGAACTGTGCTATGGCAGGATAATGTAGTGTCCCGTGGCAGACTTGGTTAGTCGCCTATTGTATTATCCATGATGTAACCGTGAACATTGTATTGTAAATAAACAAAAAACTGTGTTTCAAAACAAACGTTGATTTATTAGTTGTTTGAAGTTTATTGCGAGCAAAAAAGAAAGAAAAGAATATATAAACTAATATACGAATATATAAATATATAAAAATATAAATATAACGAAATATAACAATAAAATAAACTTTCTTTATAAGTGTATTAACAGTACGAGGGTGCAAATGTTAAAAGTGGCGTTATAGCAGAAGGGGGAAACCGGAAAAGCTACACTCCTGAAATGATGTATAATCTGACCAATCACAGCCCTTGCTATCTGCGTCGCCTTGATGCGTAGTTACAAAGTTTCGGAGGTGAACGCCGAGCTACTGCGGAGCGGTCGGAGAGGGGTTCGATGCGGGGGTACGCTGTCGATTCGACGCAGAATCATAAAACAGGCTTAAGGCCCCGTCCACACTACTACGAGACCTTTTGCTATGTTTGCAGCTTCCCTCCAGACTAAAACGGAAAAAACCAAAGACCTAAAACGGAGAAGTTTAGAAACGCTGCAGCTCCGTTTTGCATTTTGAATCTCCGGATGGTGTTTTAGTGTAGACGAGACAAAACGGAGGACTTTAGAAACGATGACACAGAGGCTCATGCTTGGTCATCAGTCATGACGTGTCCTTCCCTGATTCGTCAGCCACCCATCACATGACCCGTTTCCTGTTTACACCGGCACACGCATGCCCAGTGTTGGTGAATGGTCACGTGATCCGCGTTTTCAGTCGTTTTAATGTGGAGTAAGATCAATTTTAATACACAGATAAAACGCTGTTGTGTACGGTGATCGTATTAGTTTTAATTCTCCGTTTTTAAGCCAAAACGCAGTAGTGTGGACCGGACCTAACAGGGTAGCATAATGAGGGTCCCTACATGCAAACCGAAGCATTGAGGTCTTTGTAAGTGTCTCGACCAGTCGAACCACGAACGCTGTGCCAAGTCAGCTGGTCGATCGGAATTACGTTTGTGAAATTAATTATATGGAAATGTGTGAAATATATCGGTTAATTCAAATATATGGGTTGTTCATTCATCGGATTGGTAATGGTTGAGTGCAGTGCATTGTACTGTAGGGTGAAGTGCTCTTGCCGACTACAGTAGGTTATCCAGGATTACTGAACATTTTCATACTAAATTATACTCTGAACATGGCTGTGGATTAGCTATGATAGAGTTGCAGAAGTGGCCACTGAGCACTTGTGAACTGAGCACTTGTGAAATAAGTAGTAAGGGTGTCACAATCTAAATTAATTCACAATCTCGAACTTCGAATTAAAAAATGGAATCGTCGATGCTGCGTCGATTCTGCGACCCCATGTCACGTCCGTTCGCCTTGCAAAGCGGAAAAAAACGCTTGTTGAAGTGCAGTGAGTCTATGGTCAACCTCCTCTAATTTAGCTACAGCCCTTCAAAAGATAGCATGGCAACTGCAGATGCAGGAGACCCATCTACAGAACGTGAACCCCCTCCTCTTTCATTGAAGTCGCAGCCGTGGAAGTTTTTTGGATTTCCAGGGAGTAATGTTGACGTTCGCGCTTCAAAAAAGTCACAGTTTGCAGACATCCCAAGTCTCGCGGAAGTTCCGGGAGTCTCCCGAATATTGATTGCGGCTCCCTGAGGCTCGCAAATTCGTTAAAATCTAGAGTGAGTGAGCAAGAGATCATCAGACAATTGGCATTATCAGGACCCACAAATATTCCCCCATTGCATTATTATACATTATATTCAACATTATAAATAGAAGTGTAATGTAGCACTGACACTAACTCTGAAAACCTGATTTTCTTTCTCACACAGTACTGTTTATTTTAGGTAAACTACACAATGCATATTATCACTATCCACAATACATATTTTAGTATTATTGTATTGCGATATATTGTTACACCCCTATTGATTTATGGATGTTTCTTTTCTAGCTCCATCCCAAATTCAACAGACAGTGTTGCGGCGCCAAAGCTGGAAGGGTTCAAAGGAATCACTGGCCCCACAGCGCCACAGTGCTCTAGTAATGACCGATGGCATGATTTACCGTCCCAGCAGCCCTGGACCTCAAACTGACCTCTCACGGCCTGCTACCTTTCCTCAAAACCTTTCTGCTGCAGCCAGCGGCCAACGAGTGAACCCTCGGCAGGTGCGTAGCGTCACTCCTCCTCCCTCCTCTTGGGACTCCAATCCCTCAACCAAGCGGTATTCTGGGAACTTGGATTACCTGGTGCCCCGGATCTCTCCTGTGCCTCAGGGGCCCCGACCCGACGGCTACATAAACCCCCCGCCCCAGAATCAACGAGGACTCAGTCCAGTGCCTGTGGGTCGGCAGCCCATCATCATGCAAAACTCCGGGAACAACAAGTTCACCTTCCCTCCATCCTGGCCTCAGAATGGCGCCATGCAAGGGGAATACATGGGCATTAATAACAGGCAGCCGCCACCTCCTCCATATCCAATGCACCAGTCCAACAGGCAGAGTCCCACGGCCCAGCAGATGCAATCCAGCGCGCTCTCCACACCCTCAAATGGAAACAACCTCCCCTCAAGCATGCTGGTGCCCAACCGCAATAGCCACAACCTTGATATGTACAACCTTGGAGGGCTTCCCCAAGTCAGACCTCAGACTTCGCCCAATCAGGACGCTCCTCCATCATGGCCCCACAGCGCACCAGGCCGCTCCAACTCCTTCACCAGCGGGCGTCAGTGCACCTCCGTGCCCAACTCTCAGCCCTCCGCCACGACCGTCACCACCATCACACAGGCGCCCGTCCTGCAGCCGGTGAAGAGCATGCGTGTGCAGAAGCCAGAGCTGCACACAGCCGTCGCCCCTACGCAGCCGCCGCCCTGGCATCATCAGCCGCCCGCTGCGTATCAGGAGCCAAACGCAGAAGTGCCCAGCTACCAGGGCCCGCCGCCTCCCTATCCCAAACACCTGCTTCAGCAGCAGCAGCCGCCGCCTCCAGGGTACGACCCAACGCCCAAACCCAGCAGCAGGGAGGAGGACGGGGTGGAGCACGACACCGACACGGACAGCAGCTGCTCCGGCGAGAAGAGTCCCGAGGCCTCGGAGGAGCGCGAGAAGAAGCTCATCACCACCTCTCCCGTGCCGGTGCGCCGACTCAAGCGGGACGAGGAACGCAAAGGGGAAAGCAGAGTTCCCATGTACTCGCCGCAGGCTTTCAAGTTCTTCATGGAGCAGCACGTGGAGAACGTCCTGAAGAACCACCAGCAGAGACACCGAAGGAAGAAGCAGCTGGAGAGCGAGATGCAGCGGGTTAGCATGCGTTTCTTCACAGACACATACTCTCACAATGCTCTCTGCTCCCTGTACTGTTGACTTTAACTTTTCACATCTTTTTCCTTTCCTTTTTTTCCTGCCCTTTTCTTCTCTTTCTTTGTCTGTCTGTCTTCAATATCTTTCAGTTTGTGGATCTCCTCTGTAAGCTGCCTTCTCTCGTCTTTTCTTTGTCTGATCAACTGGTTTTCATAGTTTAAAGGTTTCTTCTGGAGTCACTCAGTGTGTGGTAAAGTAAGACCCTGTCAGTTGGACGGCATGCATGAGTGTATAAGACTTCCTTAAATATGTTTTCACGAGCTCTTTTCTAAAGCTCTTCTGAGCTGCCTACATCATCACTTAGCCTCATAGCTTTTATGTTGAAATGGCATGAAGCGTAATGGACATGTTATTGGCTAAAACTTTCAGCCAAAATGCTAGGTGTCTATTGCAGAGAATGCAATCCCAGAATTTAATGTTATGGCCTCTGTGAGGTCTATCTAATTAAAAATTAAAAATGCACACAAAAGCAACATTCACACACACCTTAAAGGGTTAGTTCACCCAAAAATGAAAATTAAGTCATTAATTACTCACCCCCATGCTGTACCAACCCCGTAAGACCTTCGTTCGTCTTCGGAACACAAATGAAGATATTTTTGATTAAATTTGAGAGCTGTATAACTACCACATTGGCTCCTAAGGGACTGCCTCTTGACGGCCCAGAAAGTCAATGAAGAAAATGTTTAAATATTCCATGTGACTACCGTGGCTCAACTATATGTTTATCAAGCGACGCGAATACTTTTTGTGCGAAAAAACAAACAAAAATAACGAGTTTATTCGACTATTTCTTTTCTTCCTTGTAGGCCAGAACGAGAATTCCTTAGATTTCCACGACGCATGCGCGAGATTTGCGATCTGCTTACACCAGCTTACACTACTTCAGATCGCAATTCTCGCGCATGCGTCGTGGAAATCTATAAGGAAGTCTCGTTCTGGCCTACAAGGAAGAAAAGAAATAGTCGAATAAACTCGTTATTTTTGTTTGTTTTTTCGCACAAAAAGTATTCGCGTCGCTTGATAAACATATAGTTGAGCCACGGTAGTCACATGGAATATTTAAACATTTTCTTCATTGACTTTCTGGGCCGTCAAGAGGCAGTCCCTTAGGAGCCAATGTGGTAGTTATACAGCTCTCGAATTTAATCAAAAATATCTTCATTTGTGTTCCGAAGACGAACGAAGGTCTTACGGGGTTGGTACAGCATGGGGGTGAGTAATTAATGACTTAATTTTCATTTTTGGGTGAACTAACCCTTTAAAATCCTTACAGCAGTGGGAATAAAAGAGTGCATACCTATATGTATTATTATGCTAATCAGAATATTGTCACTAATTACTTTCTCAATTTAAAATTAAGCAAGTTAAGACTGTTGTGATTGCTATCTGAACGAGTTGCTGCCTCATTTCGATGGCCACTTAGTAGGAAACCCTGTGCATTGCATGCTTTGCTCTTCTTCAGTGCTGGACGCTGCCTGCCAATGTTATGTGAATATTACATGATTGAATGGTGTTTATGTTGTCAGACATTATTTCAGTTGTTTGCTAAATCTGTGTGATGTGTGAGCAAGTGTTTTTGTTCAAGTGTGTGTTCTGTGGGGGGGCTGATGTAACCGCGTGTGTGGTGTGTTCAGGTGGGGCTTTCGGGCGACGCACAGGAACAGATGCGCATGATGCTGTCCCAGAAGGAATCCAACTACATCCGCCTCAAACGCGCCAAAATGGACAAATCCATGTTTGATAAGATCAAGACTCTGGGAATTGGGGCGTTTGGAGAAGTGTGTTTGGCTCGGAAAGTGGACACGGGAGCGCTGTACGCCATGAAGACCCTCCGTAAAAAAGACGTCCTGTTGAGAAACCAGGTGGCCCATGTGAAAGCTGAGCGGGACATTCTCGCTGAAGCAGATAATGAGTGGGTCGTCCGCTTGTACTACTCCTTCCAGGATAAAGATAACTTGTATTTTGTCATGGACTACATCCCTGGCGGGGACATGATGAGCCTTCTGATCAGAATGGGCATTTTCCAAGAGGACTTGGCTCAGTTTTACATCGCAGAGCTCACCTGTGCTGTGGAAAGCGTCCACAAAATGGGCTTTATCCATCGAGACATCAAACCCGACAACATCCTGATTGATCGTGATGGACACATCAAACTGACTGACTTTGGCCTGTGCACGGGCTTCCGGTGGACTCACGACTCCAAATACTACCAAAGCGGTGAGCCCAACAACTCGCAGACCAAAACACATGTTTGATGACTTGACCCCATAAATTTGTGCCATTATAACCATTTTTATGCCGATAGTTACTTCGTCTTTGTTTTAGGCTACTGTTTTAGGTAATGCCAGTCATTTAATGCTTTATATAACGGGTTAATTACATTAACCTTAAAGACACACCATGTAAGATTTGTGGATTAGAATGTCCAAAAACCATATATATAATAGTGCTGGACAACGATTAATCAGAATATATACTTTTGTACTTGCATTATCCCAAATGTTCACAAGAATGTTTAAATTCAGAGAAATAAGCAATTTTAACCAGGACACGAATCGCGTCAGTGCGTCGCCTATCAATGACATCATACCCGCATTACCTTCGGTTTCCGGTTTTATTTAGGCCCTGTTTACACGAGAACGCTTGCGGGAGAAAACGTACAAATATTTTATCGGATGTGGCTTACGTTTATATGGCGACAGCGTTTTGGGGGCTTAAAAACGCTAAAAAGTAAAAACACCTGCCAGTAGGGCTGAACGATTAATTTCATTTACGATAATATAATATCTATAATACGCTACGCGTGCTTTTGAAACGAACCGTGTTCTGCTTGCTTTTATTTTCTCGCTCTCTCACTTACTCACACGCACACACAACACACGACACCGCTCAAACCTTTCCGAAACATAGTAACGTTATTTCATAAAGTTCAGGGTTGAACCGAATTACAAGGACATTCGCGGGCTTCATTGCACAGGTTTTGCCGCTTACTAATAGGGTAAGTGCATACTATTAGGGTTGCCGCGGTGAGGAAAATTTAATCGACGTGTAATCGGTTAATCGACGTGTGACAACACCGGAAATCCCGGTGTCACCGCGTGGAGGGCGGGGCGGTTAAATAGCTTTTAAATGCGTGCGCGTTATACTTTCACTTTCGAAATAAGCGTCAATGGACAAAAAAATAAATAAACTCACTGATAATAAAACTTTTATTTATAGATGGAGCTTTTATTAAGTCAAGTCAAGTAACATTTATTTATATAGCGCTTTTCACAATACAGATTGTATCAAAGCAGCTTCACAGTGATAACATGAAAGTAGTACAACACGGATCAATAATATTGCTAAACGCTAAATAACCCCAACTGAGCAAGCCAATAGCAAGGCGACAGTGGCAAGGAACCAAAACTCCATCAGATTGGATGGAGAAAAAACCTTGGGAGAACCCAGGCTCAGTCGGGGGCCAGTTCTCCTCTGGCTTACATTCATATTGTTTATATATAAATATTAAATATAAATATTGTTTATGTATAAAACGGCGCCATAACATATCGCAGGCGTTGAGTCGTCTCTTCACAGGCGTTGGTCTTCTCCTCACAGACGTTGGGGCATCTGAAATCCCCGTGAGAGGCTGGACGCAAAACTGGACCTGACGAACGCCATTTTTTCACGCTTGTCCCGAGATAACAGCAGAAAGGCATGTTAGCATAACAAACGAATAAAAATAACCCCATGCATAGGCTGAAAAAAGTGAAAATCGGCAAACTGTGGGCCCAAACAAATAAGAACCATAAAATGTTTATTAACGAATAAGAAAATAAAATAGGCCTGAATAAATTACACAAAGTTTAAATAAGATAAAACCAATTAAAAAGAGACGAATATAAAATAAACACTTAAAAACGGACCTTAGCCTACATAAATGACATACTTTCACTTTCGAAATAAGTGTCAATTGCAATTCAGCGTCTAGGGCTGTATTCAACCAAAGAAATCCTTAGTCGACCAAAGTCGAGTCCTGCTCAACGATTAGTCGACTTAAAAAAAAAAAAACTGTGATGTTTTTTAAACAATTGTCATTGAGCATTTATAAAACAACAACGAAAAAACATCACAAATAAATAAAACTATAATAATAATACAATTCTTTGAAAATTAAGTGATTTTTTAACTGCAAAAAGTGAAGAGCTCTGTCCTAGGTCTATAGTACAGTCCCAATCGCGCACCTGACCACACCACACGCTGCAAAAAATATAGCTGCTATCTGCCACATAATGAAAAATCCCAACAAAAGCTCTCGTTTATACAGGCTTTATATTCTTCTTTACTTTCAAAGCTAAGGGTTAACTTTCGTCCTGACGATCAAGGCGTTTTAAACAACACTCAGAAAAACCCAAATAACTTAAAAACAATCCTATAATAGGCTGTAGGACCGCGTATAGGTTTATTTTCGTTTTGTTGCATTATTTAGGCTATTTTCAAATGCGTCAAGTATACAAATAAAAACGAAAACATTAAGAAAACACAATCTATTGAGTCAGCATGATATAGCCGTTAAAAGGCTGCTCACGTCTTTTGCGCGCTCAAGTTCGATTTTAAATGTAGGCGCGCGACTTGCGCGCTCATAATGGCAACGCGATCGCCTCCCTCCACAGTCTTGTCGTCTTTGTTTTAAAATGCAGCCAGACAAAAGATTTAGATTTCCTGGACAATTTGTCGACTAAAGCCAAAACAAGCAGCGTTCTAACTGAATGAATACAGCATCCCTTACAGAGCGCGAGCAGCAGCGCAGCCAGCCACAGGTGCGGTTCCCGAGTGTATTATGTGTGTGCGCTAAACTGCGGCGCAGTTACAAAAATAGCCTAAATTAAAGCAATTTTTAAGTTGGGGACAAAACATAGGCTAATTATGTTTAGAATACAGTAATAAATAACTGCTTATAAATGAATAAATATCAAGGAGTAAATCATTGAAAAATTCCTTCTATTGGTAAAAAAATAAATAAAAATGCAACTGGTCGACCAATAAGAATGTCAGTCGACCACGACGGCATCGACCGATTAGTCGACTAAACGACTAAAGTTGACAGCCCTGTCAGCGTCAATTGCTGGAATGGACAAAAAAAAAAAAACTCGCTGACAATAAACTTTTATTTATAGACAGAACTTTTATTAGCATAACAAACGAATAAAATATAGACAGAACTTTTATTAGCATAACGAACGAATAAAAATAAGCCCATGCATAGGCTGAAAAAAGTGAAAATCGGCAAACTGTGGGCCCAAACAAATAAGAACCATAAAACGTTTATTAACGAATAAGAAAACAAAATAGGCCTAAATAAATTACACAAAGTTTAAATAAGATAAAACCAAATAAAAAGAGATGAATATAAAATAAAAACTTCAAAAAGGACCTTAGCCTACATAAATGACAGCACTCTAAAAAAAAAAGTAAAACACCATAAATTGGTATTTATTAACATTAATAAATATTGGCCAAAATATTGCCAAAATGGCGCTTTTGCATTGCGTTTTGACACCAAACCTTCCGCCATTATCTTGCTTTTCTGTAATTTGACTCGTTCTCGTCTCCCCACGTGCTAAATGGAATCCTGATGCTTGCTGATCTGTGACGTGACTGGCTCTTGGCACGCACTGCGCAGTTCATTTTTAAGTATAATGTATGCTCTCTTCTGAACTAAATAATTAAAAATTATTATTTTTAATTAATTCAAATAAATATTTTAGCAAAAACGAATACTTTAAAAAAAAGTCAAGACATCGCGGTGTCACGGTGGGAAAGTGATGTCATCGGTGATGGGGCTTAAAACCGGTAACACCGTCTATCGCAGCAAGCCTACATACTATGCGTGTAAACGTAGCCTTAGTAGAAACCATGGAAACACCAGACGCTTTAATGTATTATGTGTTTTATTAGACAAGGGAACGACTGTTTGGATGCATTTATAGACAGAAAACTAAGTATTATTTCAAAACTGTTAGTCTTTTGTTTAAATCTTGTATTTACCGTGAGTAGCATGTTTTACCATTCCTAACATTGATCTAGCTCACTGCAGTCTGCAACAAGTGTCTCATGTAGCACCAAACGCACAGAGTAGCATTATAACAACTTTCAACACACTCAAATGTATTATCTAAACTGTTACCCCACATTTATGACGCAATAAAAGCTCCGCTGCTCTCGATGTATCTAAAGTGTTACTCCACATATATGACTAGGAGAAGCAGGAGAGGTCGTCTGCGGCACAGTAACAGCTCCGCTGCTCTTGAGGCAGTCTTTTTAATAAGTGCCCTCTAGCTGTAAAAAATTACATAGTGTGCCTTTAATGTAGTAACGTTTGCAAAAATATTACAATAGCAAATAAAGAAAGATTTGAAAAAGTGTCAACAGTGCTTCCACCTCTATAAAGCCTCCTCAAAAGTGTGTTTTAGTGGGAAGTAGGGTTGCCGCGGTGAGGAAAATTTCCCACCGGTTAATCGACGTGTGACAACACCGGTAATCCCGGTGTCACCGTGGAGGGCAGGGCGGGGGGGGTTAAATAGCTTTTAAATGCGTGCGCGTTATACTTTCACTTTCGAAATAAGCGTCAATTGCTTGAATAGACAAAAAAAAAAACAACTCGCTGATAATAAAACTTTTATTTATAGACTTTTATTAGCATAACGAACGAATAAAAATAACCCCATGCATAGGCTGAAAAAAGTGAAAATCGGCAAAATGTGGGCCCAAACAAATAAGAACCATAAAACGTTTATTAACGAATAAGAAAATAAAATAGGCCTAAATAAATTACACAAAGTTTAAATGAGATAAAACCAATTAAAAAGAGACGAATATAAAATAAAAACTTCAAAACGGACCTTAGCCTACATAAATGACATACTTTCACTTTCGAAATAAGCGTCAATTGCAATTCAGCGTCAATTGCTGGAATGGACAAAAAAAAAAAAAACAACTCGCTGACAATAAACTTTTATTTAGACAGCACTTTTATTAGAATAATAAACGAATAAAATATAGACAGAACTTTTATTAGCATAACGAACGAATAAAAATAACCCCATGCATAGGCTAAAAAAAGTGAAAATCGGCAAACTGTGGGCCCCCCAAAAATAAAACGTTTATTAACGAATAAGAAAACAAAATAGGCCTAAATAAATTAAACAAAGTTTAAATAAGATAAAACCAAATAAAAAGAGACGAATATAAAATAAAAACTTTAAAAAGGACCTTAGCCTACATAAATGACAGCACTCTAAAAAAAAGTAAAACACTATAAATTGGCATTTATTAACATTAATATATATTGGCCAAAATATTGCCAAACAGGCGCTTTTGCATTGCGTTTTGACACCAAATCTTCCGCCATTATCTTGCTTTTCTGTAATTTGACTTGTTCTCGTCTCCACACGTGCTAAATGGAATCCTGATGCTTGCTGATCTGTGACGTGACGGCACGCGTTGCGCAGTTCATTTTTAATTATAATGCTCTCTTCAGAACTAAATAATTGAAAATTATTATTTTTAATTAATTCAAATAAATATTTTAGCAAAAACGAATACTTTAAAAAAAAAAAGTCAAGACATCGCGGTGTCACGGTGGGAAAGTGATGTCACCGGTGATGGGGCTTAAAACCGGTAACACCGTCAACACCGTCTATCGCGGCAAGCCTAGTGGGAAGTAGTCGTCTACAAACCACTGCAAAATCACATTCAGGTTTGACTGACATTCTGAGACTGAATACACACTTTTTACCATCACATCAATGTGACTTTGTTCATACTTGTTCACTATTGAATAATGAATGATGTTGAACCGGTGTGTTTGTGTTGTCAGGGGATCATGTGCGGCAGGACAGCATGGACTTCAGTAAGGACTGGGAAGATCCCGCGAGCTGCCGCTGTGGGGATCGACTGAAGCCGCTGGAGCGCAGGGCCGCTCGACAGCATCAGCGCTGCTTGGCTCACTCGCTGGTGGGCACGCCCAATTACATCGCCCCCGAGGTCCTGCTGCGCACAGGTGTGTATGCGTAAAATAATATATAATATCCATTTCAGTGTTTCCCCTAGGATTTTTTTTAGGGGGGCGGGGGGGGATGGGTGAAAGTACACTACACTACCTGCTACTGTAGCGGAGCGGGCATGCAATTTTTTTATTATTAGACATCAAGAAGAATGTATAATAATTCAAATCATGTATTTTTAATTTTTTTTAAATATATAGATATATGAAAACAATTCACACTATGGGTAATAAAATTAAGCCATAAAACACTAATTTTATCATAAACTTTTTGTCAAATAATGTGCTTTACTGTTAAAATTAAAACATGGATTATTCCTTAAATTCAGTTTTGTTTAAAAAAATTCATAATTTATTCGTATTAGTGTTAATGTATTATTACATCTGATTCTGGACATTTCCTATTTCTACTGTACAACAGTATTATATATTTCTGTCAAGTTAAACCGAACTTTTATTTTGACGGGTTGCCGTGAAGCCCTTTGGAGTTTCTATGTGTTTGTCGTGATGATCGTCATGATGATAGTTTCACAAATGAAGCGGTTAAATGATCACGAAGTGACTTTCAGAGTGGATCTAGAGCCTGGAGAGGAAGTTCAATCATTTCTGTCTTCATATAGGCAAAAAAAACAGCGCAAGTGTCACATGTGTGTCTTCAGTGTGTGTGTGTGTGTGTGCGTGGTAAATAAAACTGTGCGTCGGGTGCACCAGAGCCGTTGAAAAACATATTCATATTTAACGACTCTGGGCTGCATTATTCATTCACACGGAACATACGATTCATAAACAGGATTCGTATTTAAATAGTATTTGTGGTTTAATATTCACACACACTAGTCTATATCGCGTTTTTTATTTCAAGTGTACTGAACCGCTTTCTATTTATTCCTCGAAAATATGCAGTAAAATCCTTTTTTATGACTGGATTTCGCCAGCGTTTTAGGGGGGCGGGGGTCGTTTTGGGGGGGGATGCATTTCTTGATTTTGATGGATTCTTAGATCCCAAGAATCGATCTTTCAGTCTATGCTTCGTAGCGTCCCTCCCATCTAATAAATCACAATAAGCGTTGTTACTTGTTCTAATATGAAACGTCTCATCTCTCAAATTATGTCAATTTTATTCTGAAATTCAAACAATAAATACCATTTTGGTTCCCTTTAATGTGGCACGACAGATCATGTATAGATGTATAGCGCCTTCAGTTCAAGAGAAGCGCACATGAGCTGATCATCTCTTCTGCTTTACTGCTAGTAACGGTGTGAAATTAACATGAATGAACATCAGAAGGTATATTGAGATATATAGTACAACTTCCTGGAATCTGTTTACTTCACTAGCAGCATTTTGATAAATAAATGCACTATATTGCATAATCATTGTATTTCTACTAACCTGTTCTTCAGTATTTAATGTGTGAGAATATATCTGTCATGTTTTTATGACAAACCACTATTTAAATGTTTATATTGAGTATAAATATAAGAGTAGAAATTCCTGCATAGTTAACAATGTTTTGGCCATGTACTGTACCCGAGAGGCCTCAATGAATCCATATTGGATCAAATTGTGAAAACTTGCTCAAAGCGTCACAATTTTAATTTTTCAGTATTTCAGTGACGACACTATTATATACTGTGCGGTGGTTAGTTTTGCAGCAGTGACAGAAATAAATGAGAAATAATTGTTTCTGACCTAATTAACGATGCAAGCCTAGCACAGGGCTTCCCCACCCTGGGCCTGGAGCACCCCCAACAGTACGTGTTTTGGGTGTCTCTCATCTGACTCAACCACTTCCGGGGCCTATACCATGTGGCTTGCCTGATATGTTTCAGTTCAGTTTGCACCAACCCTGGGTTTCAGGCACCAGGAAAGTGGTTTGGCTTTTATCAATCAGCTGTGAGATTCACGTGTCTGATGTGATAGTCACTCCACCTGTTTCCACTCCAGATTAAAGGGATACTCCACTTTTTTGGGGGGAAATAGGCTCATTTTACAACTCTCCCAGAGTTAAACTGTTTTTGAATCCATTCAGCCTATCTCAGGTACCAATTTTAGCATAGCTTAGCATACATCATTGAAGTGCACAAGACCATTAGCATTTCTCAAAAAACAATGACCAAAGAGTTTCGATATTTTTCCTATTTAAAACTTGACTCTTCTATAGTTACATTGTGTACTAAGACCGACGGAAAATGTAAAGTTGCGATTTTCTAGGCTAATATGACTAGGAACTATACTCTCATTCCTGCGTAATAATCAAGAAACTTTACTGCCGTACCATGAGTGCAGCAGGCTGAATGATATGACGCAGCGCTGGAAAATAGGCTAATACCAAGCTGGGGACAATTTTCAGGTGCTGCGTCATATCATTGCGGTTATATCAGTTTTACATTTTTCTTTGGTCATTTTTCCTTTGGTAATTGAGAAATGCTAATGGTCTTGTCCACTTCAATGCTGTATGCTAAAAGTGGTACCGCCAGAACCGGAGATCGGCTGAATGGATTCAAAAATGGTAAAACTCAACAGTTTAACTCTGAGGGAGTTGTAAAATGAGCCTATTTCCAAAAAAAAGTGGAGTATCCCTTTAAGTCAGTCCACAGCAAATGATTTTTAAGACCAAATCATTAGTTATGTTTATTTAGAATGATAATTTTGTATGATTTAGATATTGTTCTACCATTAATCGATCACAAATGTTTTGTACACTTACTGTACAATCACAATAACTAGTATCTATTATTATTATTATTATTATTACGCACAGTTTAATTGAATAAATATATAAAGGTAATATAAAAATGCTTTAGGATCAATAGATAAAGCTATAAAATGATTACATGTGTGCTTAAATGTTCAGTTAACTATTATCAACTGTATAAACTAACTTCAAAACTTTTACTTGCACTGATATAGTAATACTTTTCTTTTATTTGTCCTCTTTTATAGACTGCTATTTTCTTTGTAAATTTGTTTAAATTCTTTATATTTTTCAATCTCGAAATATTCTGTAGTAGTGAATCGCGCTGCTTCACTCGCGAGATGAATGAATGAATCGCAGTTTCACTCTTTCTCAGCTTGTGATTGGCTGTTCACTGCTGGTGTCACACCTAAACTACTAACCTCAGGATCAAAGCCTGAGATGACAGAGAAAGTTGATGATGGTACCAACAAAGCCTGGTTGGATGAGATATATCCAGCTGCAGACCCGCAGCACCACCAGTTTCAGAACCCCAGCGCCAGAACCGGAAGTGAGGGAGGGGCGGAAAAATTATTATTATTGCATTGTAGTTATTTTAGCAAGAAAGTAAGGACAAAATGGGCCTGAGAGTGAGTTCATCATTAGATACATTGTAAGTTATATGTAGCCTATACAAGATTGTTGTGATAAAACAGGCCTAGGGTTGAATTGGTCATTTGTAGCTATACATTTTTATTGTTTCGTTTAAAACAATGCCGAATTTTCTCTCTCTTTTTTAGACTTTGACATTATTATTTGACACAAAAAAAAATGCATGCTGCACATGTTCTTGTGAAATAAAGTATATTTTATCAAAAATACCCATGCATTTATTTTATTTTTTTTATTAAACAATCAAAATTATCTTACAAATAGATATCTTCAATTTCAAAACAATTTAATATTTTTGTAAACACAATAAATAAATAAATATAACATAAAATATCACAGAGGTTTAATGAGTTATCGAATTGTGTATAATTTTGAAAACCTCCAATGCTTGTCTTGTTCTATATCTTTCAAAGCTTTATTATACAAAGTTAACTCCTTGATAAAAAAATAAATAAATAAAAAGGTCTTACCTTCGTAAATCTACACGTAGCCTAGCACGTAAACTGCTTAGCTAGATAAAATTGTTATACATTAAAATAAAAACTGTTATACATTAAAATGTTACGTGTTTCAAGTATTATTTTTTCACCATCATGATCAGGAAGTAACTCCTACAATAACAAAAGGTAACTGAAACTACATACAATTATATTACACAAAATCAATGTTTTAAAATGCTTATTGTACTGTAATGTGCATCATAACATGTTCAATAAGCTGTTTCATGTGTAAAATACCCTCCACATTACGTTAGGTGGCATTATTAGGTTTCAAACCTAAGCTCCGCCCCTCACTTACGACCCTGGCGCTGTTGTTGGTTAGAACGTAACCATGAGTGCAGCAGGCTGAATGATATGACGCAGCGCCGGAAAATAGGCTAATACCGAGCTGGGGACAATTTTCAGGTGCTGCGTTATATCATTGCGGTTAGAACGTAACTCCGCCCCTTACTTCCGGTTCTGGCGCTGGGGTTCTGAAACGGGTGTGCTGTGGGTCTGCAGCTGGATACTATTGGGTTGGATTGGTTTGGTTTTGTCAACTCGAAACTAATCCTGTGACCCTGAGTTTGTACAACCACCATCATGGTACAGGCCCTGTTCTGCAGTCTGCACTAATGAGCTGATGAGTTATTCAGGTGTGTTTCATGAGCAGGATTGGGAACCTCTGGTTTATAATATGTTGTAACGCACCACAGAACTTTCCTCTGCTGTAAACTTGAGATTTCATTAACCTTTAAATTGATGAAAGTTAACTGATTGTTTTTTTAATCCCAGGTTACACGCAGCTCTGTGATTGGTGGAGTGTGGGTGTTATCCTCTATGAGATGTTAGTCGGTCAGCCTCCTTTTCTGGCAACAACTCCTCTCGAGACCCAGATGAAGGTGAGAATGTATTTTCATGCATAATTTTGCGATGCACATCTGCAGCTTTAACTAGAAGAGTTCACATTTAAATCAACAAGATCTTCACCAGACATTTAAGCTCCTCATAACATCACAGCATTCATGTCCATCAAGGGGAGCATCAGTATTTGGTGAAGATCTTGTATTGTCTCTGTAAAGTCCAGCAAATCCGGCTGAGTTTAAGATCTGGACTCAGAGGAGCATCAGTTCATGTGTGGAAATGATTCTTCATCTTCAAGCTCCTCACAAACATCATTTCACAATCTTCATATTGTCATCCTGGAATATGATCATGATGTGTTTCATACATGGTTATTTAACCCTTCGGAGTCTTGGGCTATTTTGGCCCTTTTTGAGTACTTTTTTATTTTTTTAATTTTGCGACATAAACAAACGTTTACCATACCAATTTTTGGTATCATTTTTTTCAGCACAATATCACCTATATGACCAGTCAATTAGTTTATCACTTTGATGTACTGTATCAACATACTGGACCCAAAATCACACAAAAAAACACAAAATCTGAATAGAAATATTATAGCTTTTCTACAACAAAAAACACAAACATGCTCAATGAAGCATTTTAAAAGGTTTAAAATGTAAACACAAGTTGTAAATGTCAAAATATACAGGTAAAACTCAGATATAATCAAGCTATATACAAAAAAAATATGATTTACAAAAAAAGCGAGCGTAGCCATAGGCTTTTTTAATTCATTTTAGCTTTGCCACTTTTTTAAAAAAAAAAATGTGCACACAAATATACAGAGAGCTATATTTAAGGCCTTGCATTCCCAGAGTATGAGGGTTCCCAAATAGTGCAAATACAACATAAAAAAGGTCAAATTGGGATAAAATTAAACTATATACAGCAAAATGCCAGTACATTAGCTACATTACAGGGCTTTCATTCCTTGAGTAAGAGGGGTTCCTCAATAGTACAAATATAGCCTACCACACAAAAGGTCAAATTAACACAAAATCAAACCATACATTCAACTATTTACGACAAATACCAGGTGTGTTTATTTGTGGTGTTTTTTTTTTATATCTGTGCCAATCCTCAAAACAGTTCATCTAGTCTACTCCTAAACTACCCAAACTAGCGTCTTCGCGTCTTTGCCTCAGTTGGCTCCTCCTTCATTCCGTGAAATGTGCAGCCTGAAGAGCAGAATCAGCAGATTCACACATTTTCCTCCGTTTTGTTTTATGACAAAAACCGACAAAGTTATTAGAATAAATGCAACGTCTGTCGCATCCCGTCTTGCATTCTTTTACGAACGCGTCAATATACGCGTACATTTTTTTATATAAAGTTTAAATGATCATATCTCCGTTTTTACTTGGTCTATCAACACAAAACAAAAAGTAAAATAGAGTTTCAAGTCAGCACTTTCGACAGAAGCGGACGGCAGCGCTCAACGTGACTTTGTTTTTATCCTTCGACTTCTTAAACTGGACATGTAACTTGATCACGCCGGCGTGATCGGCGACCCCGAAGGGTTAAGAAATGAACATCAATTAGTGTTAGAAGAACTGATGCCAAAACATGGAAACATCATAATCGCAGCAATAACGATCCATTCAGAGACGACTCTCAAGCATTGGCCCATTTACATCCAAACGGTGGCTTTATTTTGGCCAGGCAGTGTTTGTGGTCTGTGTTCGTGTAATGATTGTGCGTCCACCTCAGGTGATAAACTGGCAGACGTCGCTCCACATCCCGCTGCAGGCCAAGCTGAGTCCCGAGGCCACCGCCCTGATCCTGAAGCTCTGCCGCGGCCCGGACGACCGGCTCGGGAAAGACGGAGCCGACGAGATCAAAGCCCAGCCTTTCTTCAAGAGCATCGACTTCTCCACGGATCTGCGGCAGCAACACCGCGCGCCTTACATCCCTAAAATCACACACTGCACCGACACCTCCAACTTTGACCCCGTGGACCCTGACAAGCTCTGGAGCGACGACGCCGACAGCAACCACAACGACACACTCAACCGCTGGTTCAAGAACGGCAAGCACCCGGAGCACGCCTTCTACGAGTTCACCTTCCGCCGCTTCTTCGACGACAACGGCCACCCGTACAGCTGCCCCAAGCCCATCGAGTGCGAGGAGTACGAGGAGGACGAGCCCGTCGACCCGTCCAAACAGAGCCGGGACCTTGTGTATGTTTAGTGTGTGTGTGTGGAGGGGGGGAGGGGATCTCACTAAACCGCTCACACAAATCAAAAGCAGTTATATTTTGCATGAACACAAATGCACATTGTGATAAGAACATTTAAAACCTCTATTTAAAAAATGACTTTGGATTTTAGTCATTTATGTGAAGAAAAGTAAAACCTTTGGACACACTACAGGAACTTTGGGGGGAATGTGTTTAATTCTCATGAAAATGCCAATGATTTTATTAGGTCTTAAAATAAGCTTGATTTTTCTTTATGCAAAATATAATTTCTTATTTGTTTTGCGAGGGCATGTTTTCGTGAGATGGACCCGTGTATGGTGTGTGTGTGTGATCTCTTCCATCTAGCTATGATGGTGACTGGTGGAGTCTGCCTTGACACTTTGTGCTGTATTTATTATTTGTTGTTCAGGACGCACTTGTCTGGTGCCTTTCAAACAACCGAGAATCTAATGATGCAGTGGAGCTCTGTATTTTTTACTCCTCTTTAATTTATTTAAAGACTTTTTTTAATGGTAGTTGAAATGAGTGTTTTCTTCCTCAAATGATGTCTTTATTTATGATCGTGTGGATTTGTTTCTCTTTCTGAGTGTCACAGGGACTATGACTTTATGCTTTCTTTCACCAAAACTATAAGGGAGATCATCCTGTTCTCTGGTCACGTTTAGCTGACCGCTCATTATACAAGTTTCCAAGAAGAAGAAAAAAACACTGTAAATTGTTGCTCTGTCTATTTTTTTTTTTATTTATACACAAAATTTGTATATATAAGTTATGCGGTGTAAATTTGTACTTCTGTTTTTCTTAGTCCCAAAGGATATGATGTCAACACATATTTTATGGTACATATGACTCCAGATCTTGAGCAAAACACACAACTCTGGTTTATCTCCTTGTCACGAAGTTATCTTGCTGTGTCACTACCAAAGGCTTCGGTTTTTCTGCAAGAATGGTCGCATAACATCATTTTATTATTCTCTTTTTTTTGTTTTTTTTTTCTGAACTCTCTATCCTGTGCATCTCTGAATGTAATAAGGAACTCCTTTTCTTTGATTAAACTGCTGGTCTTATTCCCAGGAAGAGCATCTGCAGCTACTTTGTGTAAATTTGTCATGAATGAGAGAAAGGACGGGGTGGTGATGAGTAAAAGCTCTTAAAGCACAAACCATATACTTCAGTGTCCATGTCTAGTGTATATCATTATTTTTAATATTTATTTAACATGCCTGCTAAAGTTGGGGGGGAGGGTGATGAGAAGGTGGAAACTTCAGCTAAGCAGGCTCTCAAATATCCCAAAATTGCTAAATTGATTTATAATTAAAGCTGTCAAGGGATTGGACAAAGAAAAAAGTCCATCATCATCTCTATAGCATTCAAAAACAAAATCGTTGTAAAAGATTGGTTTATGGCAATGATGATGATGATACGATAACATCTTGGCTAAGAATTGGACTCTCCACTATATGTAATAGGAAAGCATTGTAATAAATGAGGGGGCCTACTAAACAGTAAGTCTTCTGACAGACTTAATCCAGCTCAGATAATTGTTCATTTGAAGTTCATTTATTTATTTTATTGCACCACATTGTCACAATATGTCAGGAATTGTATGAATAGGGAAGATTTGAAAACAGGGTTAATTAAATTAAAGGGATAGTTCACCCAAAAATGAAAATTGGCCTATGATTTACTCACCCTCAAGTCCACGACGCATGCGCGAGAACTGCGATCTCCTTACACTACTTCAGATCGCAATTCTCGCGCATGCGTCGTGGAAATCTAAGGAAATCTCGTTTCTGGCCTACAAGGAAAAAAAGAAATAGTCGAATAAACTCGTTATTTTTGTTTGTTTTTTCGCACAAAAAGTATTCGCGTCGCTTGATAAACATATAGTTGAGCCACGGTAGTCACTTGGGATATTTAAACATTTTCTTCATTGACTTTCTGGGCCGTCAAGAGGCAGTCCCTTAGGAGCCAATGTGGTAGTTATACAGCTCTCAAATTTAATCAAAAATATCTTCATTTGTGTTCCGAAGACGAACGAAGGTCTTACGAGGTTGGTACAGCATGGGGGTGAGTAATTAATGACTTAATTTTCATTTTTGGGTGAACTAACCCTTTAATGGCAGTGAATGGCTGTTTCTCTTTTGAAGTCCATAAAAGTCTATCCATGATAAAACATCTATCCATGATAAAAGTGCATCTATCCATGATAAAACTGCAATCAATCCATTATAAAACAGCATCTATCCATGATAAAAGAGCATCTCTCCATGATAAAAGTGCATCTATCCATGATAAAAGTGCATCTATCCATGATAAAAGAGCATTTCTCCATGATAAAAGTGCCTCTATCCATGATAAAAGAGCATCTATCCATGATAAAAGTGCATCCATCCATGATAAAACTGCAATCAATCCATTATAAAACAGCATCTATCCATGATAAAAGAGCATCTCTCCATGATAAAAGTGCATCTATCCATGATAAAAGTGCATCTATCCATGATAAAAGAGCATTTCTCCATGATAAAAGTGCCTCTATCCATGATAAAAGAGCATCTATCCATCATAAAAGTGCATCTATCCATGATAAAAGTGCATCTGTCCATGATAAAAGAGCATCTATCCATCATAAAAGTGAATCTCTCCATCATAAAAGTGCATCTATCCATGATAAAATTCATCTGTCCATGATAAAAGAGCATCTATCCATCATAAAAGTGAATCTCTCCATCATAAAAGTGCATCTATCCATGATAAAATTCATCTGTCCATGATAAAAGTGCATCTATCCATCATAAAAGTGCATCTATCCATCATAAAAGTGCATCTATACATCATAAATGTGTCTGTCCATCATAAAAGTGCATCTATCCATCATAAAAGTGCATCTATACATCATAAATGTGTCTGTCCATCATAAAAGTGCATCTATCCATCATAAAAGTGCATCTATCCATCATAAAAGTGCATCTATACATCATAAATGTACATCTATCCATCATAAATGTGCATCTGTCCATCATAAAAGTGCATCTATCCATCATAAAAATGCATCTACCCATCATAAAAGTCCATCATAAAAGTGCATCTATCCATCATAAAAGTGCATCTGTCCATCATAAAAGTGCATCTGTCCATCATAAAAGTGCATTTATCCATCATAAAAGTGCATCTGTCCATCATAAAAGTGCATCTGTCCATCATAAAAGTGCGTTTATCCATCATAAAAGTGCATCTGTCCATCATAAAAGTGCATCTGTCCATCATAAAAGTGCATTTATCCATCATAAAAGTGCATCTGTCCATCATAAAAGTGCATCTGTCCATCATAAAAGTGCGTTTATCCATCATAAAAGTGCATCTATACATCATAAATGTGCGCCTGTCCATCATAAAAGTGCGTCTGTCCATCATAAAAGTGCATCTGTCCATCATACAAGTGCATCTATCCATCATTAAAGTGAATCTTTCCATCATAAAAGTGCATCTATCTATCATAAATGTGCATCTGTCCATCATAAAAGTGCATCAATCCATCATAAAAGTGCATTAATCCATCATAAATGTGCATCTATCATCATAAATGTGCATCTATCCATCATAAATGTGCATCTATCCATCATAAAAGTGGATCTGTCCATCATAAAAGTGCATCTGTCCATCATAAATGTGCATCTATCCATCATAAATGTGCATCTATCCATCATAAAAGTGCATCGATCCATCATAAAAGTGTATCTATCCATCATAAAAGTGCATCTATCCATCATAAAAGTGCATCTATACATCATAAATGTGCATCTATCCATCATAAAAGTGCATCGATCCATCATAAAAGTGTATCTATCCATCATAAAAGTGCATCTATCCATCATAAAAGTGCATCTATCCATCATAAATATTTATCTATCCATCATAAAAGTGCATCTATCCATCATAAATGTGCATCTGTCCATCATAAAAGTGCATTATCCATCATAAATGTGCATCTATCAATCATAAAAGTGCATCTATCCATCATAAAAGTGCATCTATCCATCATAAATGTTCATCTATACATCATAAATGTACATCCATCCATCATAAATGTGCATCTGTTCATCATAAAAGTGCATCTATCCATCATAAATATGCATCTATCCATCATAAAAGTGCATCTATCCATTATAAAAGTGCAAATCTCCATAAATGTGCATCTATCCATCATAAAAGTGGATCTGTCCATCATAAAAGTGAATCTGTCCATCATAAATGTGCATCTATCCATCATAAAAGTGCATCTATCCATCATAAAAGTGCATCTATCCATCATAAAAGTGCAAATCTCCATCATAAATGTGCATCTATCCATCATAAAAGTGGATCTGTCCATCATAAAAGAGTATCTATCCATCATAAATGTGCATCTATCAATCATAAAAGTGCATCTATCCATCATAAAAGTTCATCTATCCATCATAAAAGTGAACTCCTCCCAGGCCAGAGTTTTTGCCTCCACAACCATCCGGGCTGCAGTCTGCTTCGCACCAGTCAGCTGCTTCAGGAGTCCCACAAGCCAGCCAGGCCCCATAGGACTCCTTCTTCAGCTTGACGGCATCCTTTTCCTCCGGGTGTTCACCACCGGCTTCGGGGATTGCCGCCTTGACAGGCACGGAGACCTTACGGCTGCAACTCTGAGCAGCCTCTTCGACAATGGAGGTGGAGAACATGGTCTATTCGGACTCAATATCTCCTGCCTCCCTCGGGATCTGGTCGAGGCTCCTCCAGAGGTGGGAGTTGAAGATCTCTCTGACAGGAGACTGCCAAACGTTTCCAGCAGACCCTTACAGTACGCTTGGGTCTGCCGAGTCTGTTTAGCTTCCTCTCCCGCCATCGGATCCAACTCACCACCAGGTTGTGATCTGTTGACAGCTCTGCCCCTCTCTTCACCCAAGTGTCCAAGACATACGGCTGCAGTCAGATGAAACGACCACAAAGTCGATCATCGACCTACGCCCTAGGGTGTTCAGGTGCTGCATGCACTGATGGACACCCTTTTGCTTGAAGATGGTGTTGGTTGTGGACAAACTGTGACTAGCACAGAAGTCCAATAACTGTACACTACTCTGGTT